CCGCAATTGAGAGTGCGCCTTTCAATCCAGTGCGCCTTATGGTGCGCAAAATACGGTAAATTCACTCAACACCTACACACAGCACCTTGGTGGGGAGGGTCTTCTGGGGTATAAAGGGGGGTGAAGAACTGCCCTTAATTTGTATTTGAGCTGTCTTTCAGTACCCGGTGTGTGTCTACAGTGCATTACATTATATTATTTTTACTGTTCAATAAACCACCGTTTTGCTGAAACTGCGGAGACTCTGCAAGTGGATTCCTGACACCTTGGTAGAAAAACCCTCCAGGCGGTAAAACTGAACAGTGAGTTTCAGTTCAAAAATGTAATAAAATTCACACATGGAAACAAGCACACAAACCACTATAATCACATATAATTACTAATGGACTGACTACCGAAAACCAGTCTGAGTCAACCCACCTTCCAAGCACCCCTCCCAACTCAAGAACGACTATTTAAAGAATACCATCAGCCTCAGCAGCAGAAGAGACTGACCAGCACAGAGTCCGAGTTGGTGAGGTCCACTACAGCGGCCTCTGTGCTCTCACACGTGAGATCCACCACCTCCTCACCTGCAGAGAGACCAGACGGACATGCGTAAGTGCACAGTCATCTCCGTGCACCTCACCTGTGTGCCTTCATCATTCAGCCCCTCAGTGTAGGCATGTATATAAAGGCAGGGACCCTCGCTCAGCATCATTTTACAGGGATTAATAAAACCAAAATTTTATTTTTAATACATTAACTTTTAATTACACTTCATTGTATTGCTAATATAAAAAACTGAGGCCAATAAATGTTAACAAAAACAAACTATAAATGGCAGTGTTTCCTAACCCCAATCCCCCCCACATTCCCAAGACGGTCCAGGTTTTTGCTCCCTCCCCAGCTCCCAACTGCACAGGGGATCCACTCACTTTCCACCTGGGTCCCCTCCACCTCTATGCACTCTGCAGCCATGTGGGCTAGCCTGTCGGAGTACAAGCCCCTTTTGGCTGGGCGTCTGGGCTGGGAGAGAGCTGGACAGGGTCGCCGTCGCTGGCTCTGGGGGGCACAAACACACAGAACAGCCTGCAGGGGACGTCACACAATTCAGTGTATATAAACAGCATGCACTTTAAGAATGGAAACCACATTTTACTACAAAGAACAACACATTGTGCAAGGAATGCAAGCAAAACACACATACACGGTACACGGTATATTATGGAACCGCTCAGTAGGCCGCTGATGGTTCAATACACACACGTAGACCGCAGTATTACGACATGCCCGTCATTTTCCTATAATACAGGCCCGAATAGAAGACTGTTTCTCTCTCTCTCTCTCTCTCTCTCACAAAAAAAAAAACATCTAAAAACTGAGGTCATCTTATTTTCGAGGGCTTGAATTTAAGTGTCATTATACAACAGCAAACGGCGTAAATTATCTGTCTCCTGGTTAAAAGGTACCTGCATACTTCAAACGTAATCGAGGTCGTTTCAGCAATACAACACTGCCTGAGTGGTGATCCCACCCACTGTCGACAATCTGCTGGGGCTGGTCAGCAGGCTACATGCTTTCTACTGCATCCCATTTATCTTTAGTGCAAATTAATGCATATTTGCGTATTTATGTTAATTCTACATGTCATATCTGTAATGCTTGCCATGCAATGCGTGCGTTTCACTAGCGTTTGACTTTGTCATGCAAACTCTTGGTTTCCTTGTCTGTGCCGCTGCTAGTATTAAACCTATAGTGGCTGTTAAAGGACTGAACCACTCGCCACAACATATCCTTTACATGGGTCTGCTGCATCACTCTTGGATTATGGAGTATGTAATATTATTATTATCCATCTACACTTACTGTGCTGTGATTGCATGCAAATGCTTTTTAGCAATGATATGCTTAACTTTGTATATGTTCTTGTCAAATAAAATTATTTTTCTTTATAAAAGTTCGGTATTCCAAGTTTTCGTCCAAAAATACATGTCGAAAGTGAGTGAGAGTGAATGTGTGTGTGTGTGTGTGTCTGGCATACTGTGCATCCTATTTACAATGTCATTTTAAACTAGAGTAGACAAGCACCTACAGGTTATCAAAGTTATAATTATAATTTTAATGTTTTTCTGTCCTTGATTTCATATAGTAGAGACATAAACTAGGCCTAGTCAGTCAAGCTGCCATTTTCCTGAAAGGAGTATTTTTCTTTTATTTTCTTAAATATAAAGATATCGAAATCGTACCATGGTCAAAAAACTGCGACACATACCAAACCATAGTAAAAACTGTACATAACTTGCCAATACCAAACCATGTGCGTTTAGCAGAGGTCAGCAGTAGCAATGCAATTGGTCAATTGCTTACAGGTTACCAGTTACCTGCTTTAAATCCATATAATCGACTAACTTGATAATTCAAATTTGTCTAAATTAACAACTTATATACAGAAAGTATAACGTGTTTCATCACAAGCTGTGACACATCAAGACATGTACCATGCAAAAGCAGGGACCAGAAATGAATGGGAAAGCTCATAATGTAGGACCCAATCCCCAGTCATCCCCGATTGCCAAGGAGAAGGTAGCTAGATTTCCAATTTTTTTGCGAATTCAGGGCCAAAAGCAAGCCTCAAAGAGCTTTACAACATCCACCACCTTCCAGGCACGAGACGGCTATTCAGCGCTTTGTACAGGTTAAGCTAATGGTGATGGAGCACCTTTATGCAAGCTGCAAACACATTAGCAAAACACAGCAAGGCTTATAACGAGCGAGCAGAAGAGCACACGTTCAGGGAAGAAGGACTGCTCATGAACTCACAGCAGAGAGGAGTGCAGTACTTACTGTGCTCATGATGCCTAAAAAAAGTTACAGTAAACTGACCTGGTACAACGGTCATAAAACCTCAGCACCACAAACTCTTAGCATTGGTGTTGTTAGACGAAAAGCCCCTGCAGAGACATGAAATAAAGCACAACAGTGTTGCACCTGGTACCCATTCAGGAAAAATGCATGTAAAGAAAAGAGCCCTGCGTGGGCACCACAGATGCCGTCCAGCAGAGTTCCTACAGGGACTTCTCTAACAGCCTTGGCTTGGCAATACAGATGGTCACCCTTAAGGGAGGGCACGCTGCCTGGCACACATTTCAGCTCTGTGAGAAATGCATTCGCAGCCCTCAAAGTAATAAACACGGCCATTTGCAGGTGACGCAGCACAGGCAAAATGATACAATTACGCAGACTTGTGGCAAGTAAGGAGGCCAAATTCACAAGCAGTACGCAGAGATGTTAATAATGGCTCAAACGCAAAGGCATGCAGGATGAACAATTGATTAGTCAGGCTACATAAACCCAACCCACACCTAAAATCAACCATGCACATTTAAAGGCAAGCCTAAAGCCTTAGATCAGATAAGACGTCATTCAATACACTGATGTACTGTACTAAAACACGGCATACAAAATCTGATATTCAACTAGAACAGCCAATAAATCATACAACACTTGTCATTTATTGGGTAACAGGAATTTATGAAATCCAGTGAAATTTTCATCATCACACGGATCTCCATAGAAATTTCTCACATACTCAAAGAATAAAAAAATACACTGATTATAAATGCGCACTTAGTACGACACGAGCCGACACTTTGTCACTATGCCACTTAAGCTTTAGGTTAGCATGGGCCACAAAATGACCCAGCTACATTAACTCGCTCGGTACTTCAGGCAAGGACTCAAACGGCTTCACTTAGGCCTTCCCATTCTACTTCAGCTCTAAATCTCCTTTTAAAATATCTAGAGTATACTTCTCTTTAAAGCAAGTAAAACAAAGTATAGTAGTAATACGTTAAAGTATGTGGTAAAATACCCGGATTACGCGTAAATTGAAACTGTTCGAAAAAAATCGAAATGAAACAGAAAGAAAACAGCGCACTGTACCGCACCAAACGTTTAACAGCAAGAAGTCACTTTTAGCAAGGCTTTATAAACATGAAAACGACACTAGCTAATTTTTATTTAATAAATTAACGAGTCATATAATTAGTCACTTTTTTCGACAACAGGCGGTCCTTATCTTACAATGAAGGGCCGGTGTCTTTTTCTTTCAAGCGGCCGGACAGCGAACCAGCTAGCTATCCATTCAATACGTAGCCATATTGTAATATGAAGAATAACATAAAGCGTTACCTGTACTTTAATGGAGTGGATGCGTCTTTAATCAGACTCTTAATTACAATTTTTAATATTTATTCATTTAGGTAGTGAAAACCCAACACAACTGGCCTTTGTCTAGGAAGTGAGCCAACAGGCAACATCCGTTAAAATAAATAGCCTTTTGGAGACGTCACTGCTGTTAACCAATCACGATGAAGTGAACGAGGCGTGAAGGGGCTCCGGTGCTTCCATTGGTAAGAAAACACGTCACCGCCGGGATGCTGACGAATTACGATATGAGCAGCGTTGTAAGGTCTGCGGTTTTTCCGCCCACTTGGGTTATTTAGAAAATAAGAGTTGTGGGTAAATATTAGGAGGCCGCGGGGTTTCGGGTTTTTGGGCTGTTTTCATAGTGTTCCGCGGCAGCGGACTGTAAGGGGGGAAGGAAATTAATTATTATGAATGCGAGAGACTCCTAATGCTGAGTGATACTCAATTACTAGACACCGAAAGTCAGAGACAGAGCACACAGAAAACAGGGCTCCCAGCTCTAACGCATCTGGCACTGTCACGCAGGCACTCTTACGGATAATTGATTATTCCATTATAAACCTAAAATTGGGTGCATCAGAAGCTTTGGGGTAGTATGCAAAGCCCACAGATTATTTACAAGGTAACAAAACTGTTACATACATGTAAATGCGTGTGCAGACTTGTCTGGAATTGAAAATTTCACTCCAAGCAGCAGTTGACCAAAGTTGGCAACCCAGGAATAAGGGAATACGTCCGTCTACGTGACGTCATTGTGTTTAACTGTGGTTTTTAAAATGTTAAGCATTTGAATATGATCGTCATGCAAAATACGTGTTTTTCTTTGAGATACAGTATGGGGGGGGGAGATCTGTGACCAGAGGACTGCTGGTGGTGTCACGCAGATGACGGCTAAGGTACAATTTCCAATGGCATCAGTTTAACAACTTTTTGTAATTCATCACTAAGTCCTGCGGTCTTCACAGGATGCCATTAGTGCGACATTAGTGCCCTTTCGCTTAAGCTTTGAGTATTGCACAGCACTACAGGTTCACGTGAATTATATTCACTTAAGGAATCATTTGTGAATTTTATATTTAAATTACTTACCGATTACCTCCTAAACCTGGTGTTCTTTTCAGAAGCTTACAGTGATTAACTGTAGAGGAAACCTTTGCTTCTATAATTTTTCTTTTTTTATTCTGCATAGAACAGGTATAGAAACTGCATGGATGGATGTGCAGAAAGTTGTCCTGCATAATGGATCTGATTTACAAAAACACATTTGTAATGTGTTTGGGCAGAAAGGTTTCTTTGTTACACATGTTCTATCCTGTGTTGACTTTCTGTATTCTTTACTAAGCCATGCTTCCATAGAAGACAGTGGTTAGACTTGATACAGTGGTGATAGATGACACTTGGGACAGTCCGACTAACTGGCCATACTAAGTCTTAGCATCAGGGCAAATTAGCTTCAAGTTATGCTGGAAAAGTATCTCTTACGGTTAGTACGAGTGTCATAAGACTTTGCCCCCTTCAAAGCCAGCCAGCCCAGTAAATGCAAACATAGAAACATGATTTAATGTGTGTGTGTCCCTGAGGGCTGTGTTACTGATGCAATCACATATTACACACTTTGCTATGTAAAAGATGAAGACCAAACAAATACTAAATTTGTGACAGCTACTCTTAAAACCAGACAATAAGGCTACTATATTTCACAGTAATGTGTCTCACATGAGCTTCTTAATCTTCTCCCTAGCTCATGGGCGTAATTTCCAGGGGGGTTAGAGGGGTCATGACCCCCCCAATAATCATGTTTCCCCTGTAATGGGTGGAGACCTCGACCCCCCCAATGTTCCAGCCAAAGTTACGCCCTTGCCCTAGCCGGACCCTTTGATTGGTCGAGGGAAAGAGGAGGGGGGCTTTTCAGGGCCCCGGAACAGGCTGAGACTGCCGGATGCCGAAGCTTCACACTGGACCTGGCGCTCCAGGCTGCTCTCTAGCTCCTCCCAGTGGTGCTCCTCTGACCACTGCTGCTGGCCACAAGTAGGGGAGGGGCAGGGAAAGGAGAGGAGGATGACACGGGTGTGGAGGTGGAGGGAAAAAGTGCACATATTAATGACACTGCCTTCCAAGGAATGCTTCTTTTTTTGAAGCCACACAATGTTGATGTTAATTAAGGGATTTAGAAATTAAATATGATATTAATAAATAAAATAAATGGCGGTCGGATGTAACAAGGCAAGCATTCAGTTTCATTACTTAAGAACATAAGAAATTTACAAACGAGAGGAGGCCATTTGGCCCATCAAGCTCGTTTGGGGAGAACTTAACTAATAGGTCAGAGTTGTTAAAATCTTATCTAGCTCTGATTTAAAGGAACCCAGGGTCTTAGCTTCCGCTACACTAGCAGGAAGACTATTCCATACTCTAACTACACGCTGTGTAAAGAAGTGCTTCCTCAAATTCAGTTTAAAATGTTCTCCCGCTAATTTCCACCTATGGCCACGTGTTCTAGAATTTAAACTAATATTGAAGTAGCCATTTGGCTGAACAGCATCCAGACCTGTTAGAATCTTGTATACCTGGATCATGTGCCCCCTTAGTCTCCTTTGCTCGAGGCTAAACAGATTCAGCTCAGCTAACCTCTCCTCATAAGACATTCCTCTAAGACCAGGAATCATTCTCGTAGCCCTCTGTTGCACCTTTTCTAAGGCAGCAATATACTTCTTAAGGTATGGTGACCAAACCTGCACACAATATTCCAGGTGGGTCTTACCAAGGAATTACATAATCGTAGCATCACCTCCCTTGACTTAAACTCCACACACCTAGAGATGTAACCCAACATCCTAAAACATTAAAAATACTTATAATCAATTTGGACAAAATATCGCCTCAGTAAACAAATGAGAAAATGCTAAGCAGAGACCTATTAAATACATAAAGTTATTCATAGCGTGGAAGCAATAAATTAGAAGAACATAGTTTCCAGGGTGATGTATGTAGCAGTTTTATTACACTGTAAATAGTCTGCAGGGTTCTCTACCCCAACGCTTTTGATGTAGCTAATGTTGGGTTTATAATGGAATAATACAGATTTGCTGTAAGATTTCCTGCATGAGAGTCTGAAAGCATGAGTGTCACACCAGATTAATGAGAATCTCACAATTACATATGCCAGGTGTTGCGTGAAGCTATATTACTGTAATGTAAAGGATATATATCTGTGTGTGTGTGTGTGTGTGTGTGTGTGTTTCTATACAATGCTCCCATATGAATATCCTGATATGGCTGGCAGTGCTCTTGTATGGATGACTGAGCTCCAAGCGAGAGGCAGGCTCACCCTCTGTTGGTTCCATCCCAGCAGGGCCTGTGCAGCAGCCTGTCCATAGGCTTTGGCTCTGGCATCCTCGGCCTGCCTGTGTCTCTGCCTCTCTTGCCGCTTGTCCTCCAGCTTGCGCTGAAGCTCTAGCAGCTGCTGGTCATCGCTCGCACCCAGGTAGGGCTTCTGTCGGGTCTTCTTCTCCAGTTGCCTGCCCCACAGTCAGACTCATTTACTGACACTCATCGCAGAATGTGGACCGTAGCGCATGGGCAGCTTCCTCATTCAGCCATAGCACAAGGCTAGCGCAGTTAGCCATAGCACAAGGCTAATTCAGTTAGCCATAGCACACAGCTATCTCAATTAGCCACAGCAAAAGGCTGGCTCAGTTAGCCATAGCACAAGGCTAACTCCGTTAAGAATAGCACATGGCCGTCAGAGTTAGCCATAACATAAGGCTAGCTCAGTTAGTCATAGCACATGGCTAGCTCAGTTAGCTACAGAACAAGGGTAGCTCAGTCAGCCACAGCACATCAGCAGCTTATTTAGCTAGAAACACAAGGTTACCTAAGTTACCTGGAGCGCTAGTTAGGCTAACTCAGTCACCCACAGCACAAGTCTGTCTCAGTTATCCACAGCACATGGCTATCTCAATTAGCCACAGCACAAAGTTAGCTCCGTTAGCACAGAGCAAAGTGCTATCTCAGCTATTGCGTATATCAGAATGTCAGACATCCAGATATTGATTTAAGGGAGGCAGATGAGGGGCATCCTGGAGGGGTGGGTGCTGGCCAGTCCTTGGCTGGTTTTACGGTAATGCTGTATATATATTCCCGACTGGGGTGGAAGAACACAATCTACAGACTGGGGCTAGACAGTGGTGCTGTAATCTGGGGCGAGGTCGGAGTAGTGAAACTTCTTGCTGGCTTATTCTACCCCCACTGAATAGCGGAATGACAGATTTCCGGGACATAGTGCATCATTTGCGGGTGTCAGGGAGCTGCTGTCAGTTTGCAGGAGACTCTGGGATCTTCCAGGAGAGGTTGCATGTCTGGTTTTAGCGACTGCGAGAGAAGGTGCTCTTTAATTTCTGTGATGCAGGTGTGTGTGTGTAGACCATGTGTGCCCAATATATGCATGCAGAACCCTCACTTCCGTTTGGCCTCCTCTCCCAGTGCTGCCCTCTGCTGGCTGATGAAGTCCAGCTGCCCCTGGAGCCACTGCTGACGGTTCTGCTTCTCCACCTGGAGGCGCTCTTTCTTCTCCTCCTGCTCCCTGCTCTGCGCCTCCCGCAGCACAGCCAGCCGCTCCCGTAGCTCAGCCAGGGACATCTCTCCCAGGAGGGCATGGCCTGCCGTCTGGGACGATGTGGAAACGTGGGGGTGAGGGATTGGCGCCGACTGGCTCCGGTCTAACACCCTGTCTGCCTGGTGGCTCACAGCTGCCCTGCTACGCGCTGCGGATCACCTCGGTGTCATCCACGAACTTGTGTCTGATGACGGGGACAGACTCCATGGCCCGGATCTGAGAGATCAGCTCCAGCCTCCGGGCCAGGTCCGCCTGGGCCCGCTCCAAGGCCTGGCGCAAGAGGTGCCGGCTCTGCTCAGAGACCTCCTCCGCTGCAAGAACCACAAACAGCTCGGTGAGCTTCTGGACGAGACCCGGGAAAGTGGCAGCAAACAGTGACGTCCCGAGCCAATATCAAAGATCGGAATCAGGCCCGATCCAGGCCTTTTATTAACTCATTGATATCGGCTACCACAGCCGGATCGACTTATCTGCCCAATTTAAGACAGTTGTGCAGATCATAAATTTCCATCACACGCTACAGTACGCCTGAGGCACGTAGCTTTAAACTAGAAGGAAGCAAGAGATGCATTGCTTAATACAACAAATCTTATTAGTCACTCGCAAAAACACAAGGAAGAGCACTGCGAAGTCACAAGGCTTATTCAGACGAAGAATGCACCGACACTGTATGTGTATATATAAATATTTCACAGTACCGGCTTAACGATACACCAACACGAGCTGTATGGACACCGAAACTTAAATTCTTTTCTGCTTGTCACATCATCATTTTGCTATGTGTTCTCCTACAAGCTGTTGACATGTCATTAGTATAAACTGACACCGGAGGGGCGCTTAATGTAACAGAGGGTCCACCAGAGGGCGGTGTGCCGATACCTATGCGCTGTTTGTACGCCCACAGCTTGGCCTTCGCTTCCTTGGCGTTCTTGTGTCCCTCCACCACCTGCTCCACCAGCTCCCTCATCTCCTGCTCCTCCTGCAGCCGCTTCTCTGCATAGCGACGCATCAGTTCAGCGGTCTGCGGGACGAGAGTGCCGCCAGGTCCGACGTAGTGGCATGCGGGATGTTGTCATTGTAAATCTTCATGTATCTTTTTTGTGCGTAGTCCCTGGGTACCTCCTCTCTCTTGAGCAGCGCCCTCTGCTGGTTGCTCTCCATCACGCGCACGCGGGCCAGTGCCGCCTCCTCGTGGCTGATGAGTCCCTCTATGCGGCGCCGGTCCAGCAGGGCCACCTCCTCCTGCAGGTCCTGCTGCAGGACCTCATTCTGCCACCGTAGGAAGGATGAGGGCTCGCCTCCCCCACTCAGGAGCGCCACCATCCTGCACCAGGCAGAGAGTCCAGCCCGGCTGCCTTCTAGGCCCCTGTGGTGTGTATGTGTGACGTCGCTGTGCTTACCTCCGTGTTTCCTCCTCCACCTGCCGGTTGTAGAGAGCTCCTTCACGCAGGATGGCTGTGGTGTTCAGTCTGATGGGCGGGCTGTCCGTCTGGTCAACGCACAGATGTATAAAGCAGTGTGTCAGTCCAATAGCGTGTCAGTCAGGCTTTAAAGAGACGGACAGACAGACAGGGTACCTGCTGGACCACAGAGATATACAGACAGGCCAACCTGTCTCGAATGAGGCCGGCAGAGATATACAGACAGGCCAACCTGTCTCGAATGAGGCCGGCAGAG